CTGTACACGGGCGAGATCAGCACCACGCGCGCCCTGGACCAGGAGGACGCGCCGCGCCAGCGCCTGTTGGTGCTGGTGAGGGACCACGGGGAGCCCGCGCTGACGGCCACCGCCACTGTGCTGGTGTCCCTGGTGGAGAGCGGGCAGGCGCCTAAGGCCTCATTGCGGGCATTAGCAGGGGACTCAGGACCGGAAGTGACGTTAGTGGACGTAAACGTATACTTAATCATCGCGATTTGCGCGGTGTCCAGCCTGTTGGTGCTCACTCTGCTGCTGTACACGGCGCTGCGTTGCTCAGCGGCGCCCACGGAGAGCGCGTGCGGGCCTGGGAAGCCCACGCTGGTTTGCTCGAGCGCGGTGGGGAGCTGGTCGTACTCGCAGCAGAGGGGACAGAGGGTGTGCTCTGGGGAGGGCCCGCCCAAGACGGACCTCATGGCCTTCAGCCCCAGCCTTCCTCCTTGTCTGGATAGAGATGAGAGGGAAAAGCAGGAGTCAGGATCAAATCACCCAGGGCAGGTGAGTTTTCTACAGATTTCACCTGTTTTGGAAGTTTATGTTAAATTATTTATAACCCAATTTTTAAAATGGTGTGTGTGTGTGTCTTTGAACAGCACTACTGGGGACGGATCCCAGGGCCTTCCAATTGAGCTACATCCTAATCACCTTAAAAAAAAATTTTTTTTTGAGAAAGAGGCTCGCTAAGTTGATAAGTTGTAAATATTGTGTATTTTAAATATTTTGAATAACAAGGTCAGTGAGTAAAATGCCAAATGATACATGTATCTAGTCTTTAATCATATGAGTACTTAGGTTTGTTTAACTGATCAATATTCCATTCTAGTGTGTGATTGTAAAATGTTAAAAGAAATGAGCTATGAGAATGACTCTTGTTACTCAAGTAGAAGTAATCATTAATTTTCATTGAGCAACCTTTAATAGATGATGAAAATCTTTTATTTCTTCTAAAACTTATAATAATGTACTTGTGCAGAACAAAACTCATTAAAACAATATGAATTTGCCAGGCATGGTCGCACACACTTGTAATCCCAGCACTCATGAGGCTGAGGCAGGTGGATCGCTGTGAGTTCCACGTCAGTCTCAGCTACATAGCGAGACCCTGTCTCAAACAAAACAAAACAAAACAAAACAACAACAGTATGAATTTGAAGCCATGTAAGACAAGGGGTGATGTATATTATGCTTGATGTCATTCTCCATGATAACTAGAATACTTCTATCATGCCTTATTCAAAGATTATTTAATTGGAAACGTTGAAGCAGAAAATATTTTTAAACTACAAAATAAGAACAGTTTTATTGCTCATATATATTAGCTAAATATGCATTCATAAATGATCCACAAAAATATCCAAAAGTCAAACACAATTTAGAGTGACCCAGGAAGTGGCTAATCCAAAAATAACCTCAGGGTCTTTTTTTGTATTTACATAATCAGTCACATGATGTTCCTATACACCGAAAAGGTTAAAAAGGGAATGTTTGTCTCCAGACAAAGATCACAGCCATTCATAAAGTCGGATCACCTTCATGTTTACCAGAATGGTGTATAAAACCTACTGAATATATACTCACAAAGGGGAGACTGCTCATTAAAGATCCCAGGCCAGCGCTCTTTTAAAACTGACAGTTCCACGTCAGAGGCCCTCGTTGTCTGTAATGGTGGTTATCTGGAGAGGTGGCCTGGAATACAGGCTGCTCTCACTTCTCCTCACAGCTGGGGAAGCAGGGAGCACCCAGCTCCACTAGTCTGTCCCTGAAACACGGAATCTTCGTGGCAGTCCTGGGGCTGGTGCTGGCGGAGCTGATCCCGCGCCTGTTCTGACTGGCATTCAAAAACTACAGGGACCTTCTGGAGAATGGCAGTCTGCAGAATGGCATTTTCTTGGTGAATTCTTGGATGGCTCGCGACGGGATGTGCGGGCGGATCGCGGAGTGCAGCATCCACCTGGAGGTGATTGTTGGCAGACTGCTGCGTGTTTTCAACGTGGAGGTTGCCGTAAGGACATTAAAGACAACCCACCTGTGTATGGACCAACAGAACAAAGCGCACTTTTTAATCTGAGCCGCGGGACACTCACTTTCCTCTAGAGGGCGCATGCACTTCTGAAGCAGACAGGCATAAACATTTCTGAGCTGTTAAGACTAAATGAGCATTTTGAGCTTAAAATAACAACAAAAGATAAAAGCATATTGTCTGTATTAATTTTTCAAAAGTCATTGGATAGAGAGGAATCATCAGAACTTAATTTATTGCTGATGGTCATCTATGGTGGTAAAATAAAGCCAGCAGGATCTGCTCAGACTCAAATAACCATCCTAGATGTAAATGACAGCACACCAGAGTGTCATAAAACTATTTGCAAAGTAATTTGTTTGAAAATGACTCAAATGGCACAAAAACAATTCAACTATATGCTTCTGAATTGAACGGAGGCCTGAATAGAGAGATTTCCTATGGAATCAGAAGGATTTTGTCTGTCAGTATGAAATGTATGTTTTCCATAAATCCAGACACAAGTGAAATTAGAAGTTACATGGAACTGGATTTTGAAGAGAATAATGCTTACGAAATTCAGGTTAACCCATTGATAAAGGGAATTTTTCCATGGTTGGTCAAGGTATGGTCCTGGTGGAAATTCTGAGGCAATGGTCACTTTATTGTGATTCTGTGCTGGAGGATGCTCATTTGGGAATCGCTAATGTATTGCTCGGCGTATCTGACATCGCCTCTGGTGCCGATGGACAGGTGACTGCTCCTTGACACTGCAAGTTCCCATCAAGCTGCTTTCTACCTTCAAGAATACTATTTGCTCGCGCTGGACAGCGCCCTGGACCTGGAGAGGTGTCTGATTAGGTGAAGGTGACAGCCAGGAACGGGGGCTCGCCCTCGCTGTGGACCACGGCCACCGTGTCCGTGGAGGTGGCCGACGTGAACGACAACGCGCCGGTGTTCGCGCAGGCCGAGTACACGGTGTTCGTGAAGGAGAACAATCCGCCGGGCTCCCCCATCCTGACGGTGTGCGCGCGCGACGCGGACGCGCAGG